TTTAGGTAATTTCTATTTTTTTTATTAATTTCAGGTTATTTTCTGTCTCCTATATTTTCCTTCAATATACACTTCTTTTTATTTTAGAAAAAAAAAATAGAAAAACATTATTTAGGAAATGCTATTCAGATTATAAGAACATTGGAATAGTTAAGTTCCATTAAGGGATCCACATCGAGGGCTTATCAATCTTTTGCAATTTGCATATCAGAGGTAGGAGAAGAAACATGTTACTAAAAACTTTTGAACATAATTGACGTACACATTTGGCTTTTCTGTGCGTGAAAGATCAATTCTAAATGTAAAACAAGGCCATGATCTTATGTGTTTAGCCTGCGCATGCATAATTTGTTCTAGTTGATTGCTAATAGCTTATATATGGCATGAATTTCATGGGCAAATGGATGATAGCCTTGTGACTTCCTTATTGCAGTATATGGATGCTAATTTTATAAACCTATTGGAATGTGTGGATGTAGCATTTAGTATTATTCTAATGATTGTAGGATGAGTTTGGTCGATCCATACATATTGTTGTGCATCAACATTAATTACTTTCTCTCGTGTTTAGAGTATAACCCTACATGCTAGGTAACATGGATATTTTGTTTTGCGTGTCGTGTCCGTGTCTGACACCAACTCTTCGCGGACACTCCATGGACACTTGTGGTTCAAAGAAAAACAAGATTTCCCCATTACTCATACTCTAAACTAGTTTCTTTGGTAATATCAGGTTCAAAACCAATTATTTTTTAACCAAAAATTGAAATTGATTACTTAAATATTTGGAAAACACCCATCGTATTATCCCATATGGTCAAAATTAAACTTTTTGTTGTTAAATCTTATTCTTGGTTTGATGTAGCTTGATTCTTAATTGTTATAGATAATAGAAAGAAACATACAAATATTTTTGGTATTATATATTATTTAATATTTGATCATGTGTGTGTATTATATCTCGTATCCCCGTATCCTAGATTTTACTAATTGGCCGTGCCCTGTGTCTGTGTCCGTGCCACCTAGCTTACATGTAACCCTATATCTGAAGAAAAGTCATGGTCATGTTTAGACTATTCCCTAAATCCATGTTTTTAGGAGTTACTGATAAATCATTGTATGTAGGTTAGCATGACCTATGACTACATAAGAGTTAGGGACTGGATGTACGTGGGTTGCGCAGAACGCATGCAATCTGTTTTTATTAATGGAGTTGATGCTTTCATGGACTTTGAATGTAGGCACGATATAGTTTGACAAGGGAGGTTCATTGTCCACGTAAATTATGTGTGAATAAGTTGCATCAGTTGAAGGAAGAAATAGAACTTCATATTATGAAGAATTGTTTTGTTAGCAATTACATAACTTGAGTATATCACGGAGAAATTGATGGTCTCAGCGATGCTGATAAAGAAGAACAAGAAGATGACAACTAGTTTCTCAGTGAGGAAATGAAGGAAATGGTTAAAGTTGCTCTTGGTAACATTAATCCTACCGAAGATCTTCCTTCCGAAGGAGGACAACATGAAGACAATTATGATAAATACGTGAATGTTGCTAGGAGGTCGATTTATGAGAATGCAAAACACTCCACACTATCATAATTCGCCCATCTATATTTTGATTAAGTATCTAAATAAATGGAGCAACAAGTCATTCAGAATGCTTCTCAATTTTCTTAAAAGGTTCTATGCCTTTGGGGAACCATGTGCCTCGGAGTTAGTACGAAGCTCAAAGGACAATGTCTAATTTGGATCTGAACTGTGAGTTGAGTCATACAAGTCTCAATGATTGTGTACTTTACTTGAAAGAAATTTTAGATAAGATAGAGTGTCCTACTTGCGGAGAAGCTAGATACAAGAAAAAAAAGTACATGGTCAGAAGAAAGATATACCTGTCAAGATAGTATGATACTTTCCCCATAACACAGAGGCTAGCCATAGCAATGACTTGGCATTATCGTGCTCGTCCAAGTGAAAATGGAGGAATGAGTCATTTTAGAGACATGCTGCATGGAAGGATTTTGATAGTAAGCACCCAACATTTAGTTAGGGACCTCGCAATATCAGGTTCAGACTAGCTAATAATGGCTTCCGCCTCTTCAGTTTTAAGGGCAATCCCCACAACACATGGCCCCTTGTGATGATGACTTATAATCTCTCACCGTGGTTGGTATTTCATGATGTCTCTTCTTATTGATGGTCCCAATTCATCAGGAAACAATATTGATGTCTAGCTTCAACCTCTTATTGAAGAGTTGAAGTCTTTATTCATTGACAGTGTGAAGAAATACGATGCAGACACCAAGACACGTAGACAACCTTCACCATGTGTGCAACCTTAATGTGGCTAATGAACGACTTTCTTGTATATGGAATGCCATTTGGTTGCTTTGTACATGGTTACACTGCATGTCCCTACTGCCCCCTCCTAACAACATCGAGAAGGCTGCCCTTTAGCAATAAGACTTGTTAAAAAAACAAGTTTTTTTCTATTTTTTTAAGAAGTCAATTTTGTTGGACAAACAATTGAAATCGTTTGAGTTTTTGGCCAAACAGTTACAACTATTTGGGTAACCGTTTGCCCCAGTGGCCTTTGCCCAAACAGTTGCCCAAACAGTTTTTTTCGGTCAGTCAAAATAGTTATACCTGTTAGGGACATGATCCCAGACGGTTTCAATCATTTGGACTTAGCATATTTATATAGTGACAGTGATCACAATAGAAATTATACTTCTTAATTTTTTTTAAGTGACAAAAGTTATACTTTCAAATATCTAGACGACACGTAGCCATTCTCTTTATACATTAATTGATGCAAATGCGACCAACCATGTAAACAACTGTGAACAGCTCAATTCTCAATTCCCGGCTAACTCCACACTTACCTAGTCTAGAAAATTAAAATCTAGGGGGCCATACCAAATTAAAGCTTGGAAATGATTAAGCCATGATATATATTTCGTGGACATAAGTGACCTATCCCTTAAAGAAACTGAGAATATCATCAACAGAAGATATCATGTCCCTGTGTCTCTACAAAATAATTGCGGATCAGGTAGAAGTTGTTTTGGATTTTGCTTCTGATCAGTTCCCTGTCCATTGTTGTCACATAATGGAACCATGCACATGGGACTAAAAGAAAATTTGCAAGAATATGAACGTAGAATTGGTTGTTGTTGATGATTGTGACATTGTTAACAAAGTAGAGATATCTAGGACCAAAGATTAATTATTAAAATGAAAGATATAATGAATTAACACCCAATATAATGAAACGCTACCAACAGAATCTTATCCGAGGGGGAGTGTGATTTAAACAGCAAATGAGTTAGCAATGAAAATAAGTTTGGCGATTCAAATCCTATTTTCATGACTTGGAAGATTTTGAACTAGAATTAGGAACATGTTATTATAAGATTAATAGACAATTGATCATGCCCATAATCTAGTTTATTTTTTGGTCAAAGAGGTTTTTAATTTTGCTTTTCCTAAAATTCCGATAAGCCAGTTTTTTCCTTTTTATTTAAAAATTTTAGGATCTTATCATTTAATTATAATAGCTTCAAGCAAGCAATGAGTATTCAACATATATTGTTCGTATAAAATTCCTACTAGTAATTCACACACTGCTAAATAATGAGGTATCCTAGACGGAAAATTCCGTCTAGGATACCCAAATTTCCGTCTAGAATGCTTATTCTAGACGGAATTCCGTCTAGAATAGGCGTCTAGTTTGTTTCCGTCTAGAATACCGTATTCTAGACGGAAATTCTAGACAAAAGTTACAGATATCTACACTTATTTTATGACACATATAAAAATATCATTTTATTTACAAAGGATTAAACAATAGTGACACAAATAAAACGTGCGACAGATCACGACACATAATTGTGATATTAGATATACAATTAAATATAATTGAAAAAGGCTAATAGACTAACATGGATTCTGTGAGAATCTATTGATACGCTTAAATAATGAATCTTAGATTTTAATTATAATGATGATTAAACATTTATCATAGTGTATAAGCTAAATATAGCTCTACATTTAAGTGTGTTTTGGTGAGGGTAATTCTAGAATGGGTGATCTCCTAGAAAGTTACAGCGTTGAGCAGTGATACTCTTTATATATTTAAGGTCTAGATACAACTATGTGTTTCCACTCTTAATACATGTAAGTGTCACCATTGTCAATATATATATATATATATTATATATATATATATATATATGAGTGTGTGTGTGTCGTGAGTTTCGCGACACATGTACGTATCATAAATTTTATGACATATGTATGCGTCACAAGTTGTGCGACACATTCTCACTTATATAGAAACACGTGCTCCACACATGCTCTAACCATACTTTTGATATGTGTCGCGCTCAATTTTTGCGACATAAAAATGTGTCACATGAAAATAAAAAATATATCATAATTTATAAGTTTTGTTTTAGAAGGTGTTTGGTTCAATTTCTATAAATTATAGGAAATGTTTTCCACCCAAAATATGATTTTCTTGTATTTCTTAAAAAAATTATAGGAAAATTTTTGAGAAGTCAAAACGTAACAATTTTCTTATTTTTTATACTTTGCTTGGTTAGTTCAAAACAAGAAAATGGCTCATAACTTTATAGAAAATGGGTATGGGACGGGTTTTGTTGATTAAATAAGGAAGGTGTCAGATTTCCTGTTGATTTCCTCTCATTTTGAGAGGAAATTGCTTTTTGTAAAATTTGGTAGTTTTTGATATTTTATAGAAAATATTTCTATAAATTTTTTGTTGAACCAAACACAGTTTACAGAAATCTATAGAAAACTTTTAATTACAAAATTGCCAATATCAGATATTTTAAGAAAAGTTTTCTCAAAAAAGTATGCAACTAAACAGCCCCTTAGTGTCAGTTGTAACTATACACACTTACCTGCTACATTTTCTCAAACATGTATGTTACTTATGAGTGCAACATTAGAAAAACCAAATAATAGCTGCATCGTTCAAATACCAGCACAATTTATTTATTTAACCCCATATAGATCCAAATAATCAAACTAAAATCAAAAGAACTCTGTACACATACTCACACAACCAAGACTTATAAACATCACAATAATCTAATCAACCATTTATTAGAAAAAACAAAAAAGAAAAAAAAATCCAAAAGTTATACTCCCCTTCTCACACATCAACTTGCCCCCTACGTTTCGACCGTCCCCTTCTCCTCACCTTCTCAACAATAAACTTCGTGTCGCCGGACTTCCAGAACCTCTCCTTCTCCGACGGGATGACGTCACAATCCGGCAACGTGTCCGGGTACCTCAACACATCGTAACAAAACGAATACGTCATGTATTTCTCTCTGAACCTCCTCATTGAAGCTCGTTTTCTTGGGCTGAGCGTCGAGAATTCGGCCGCAGCGAGCTCGGAGTCCGGCCCGGAGCATTGCTGGTCCGAGGGGTACTCTTGGAGTGGGCTCGTGCGGCAGCCCATTAGGACGAGGTCGGAGAACTCGGCGATGAAGGGGGCGTATTTGTAGCTGGCTTTGTACTTGCCGCCGGAGGTGGCCCACGTGGATCCGTCCCAGATTGTGGCGTAGACGGACATGGGCTTTAATGGGTACTCGCCGCCCATGGCGGGTACTCGCCGCCCATGGCGGCGCTCCTGCGGGCTTCTCGGATCGGGACATCGTCGATGTAGAATCTGGAGAGATATTGTTTAGTTAGAAGTAGTTGGAATAATAAATATATTTACAATATCGTGTAGTTTCCACTTCTGCTGTTAGAATACTCTTTGATTTAATGATTATAACTTTGATTCTCTTGCTTTTAATTAGTTACTATTTTTGTAAATTGGAATTTACATATAGTTGAAACAACACGAGCATTTTCCTAGTCAAAATGCAAATAGTCTCACGATGAGTGAACCTTAAGTTACAATATGCTTAAATTGTCGTAAGCGTATGACCAATTTTTTTTTAATCGAAAAGAAAGGTGGATGAACAAATTTCCAAGGCGTTTATACAAGGATATATCTAAAAGCTTACATATTTTCACATGTTGGCCATGTATTCCCCTTAGAGCTTTATTTTGGAACAGTTAGGTAATATATGTTGTGAATTAGAACTTGAGCAAGGATTATATCAGAATACCATTCACGGATGGTTATAGGGCTAGTTTAAGGAATGAGATTGTTTCTTAAATTTTTATCTGTGAAACTCTGGGGGTACTTGCCTATGGTTTCACACAAAACTTTGTTTTAAATAACTAAAAGAGTTTCACTTATTATTATTATTATTTTTGCAAATATTTGTAACACAAAAGATGGAAATAAGTAATCTTCAATTTATGACAAATTTTCGTTTCAGCAAAGGCATGCAATGAGTTACCAAACAAAAATTTTGACATGAAAACGTTAAAGGATATATATAATTCCTGCACTAGAATTGGTGATTTAATCAAATTTTATCACCAATTAATATAAAATAAAAATCTAACTGTGATCCATATAGCTGCTCCATAAGAACACATATATGCAATACCGCTTGAAGATACAAGCTCCATAATCATGGAAGTATGCAAAGGAAATTACTTGATATTTTTTGGAGAATAGATGGATGTAAATACTAAAGCCCCCTTGAATAATAGCTGTAAATAAATTAGGATTTGTCTTCATGCTGTTGAAGTTAAGCATGCTTCTTTATTCTGTAGTTGTTTGTTTTCACTGAAGAACAAACATGGAACAATTAAAAGTCATATATCTCCATCCCCATTCTAGTTATAGATAAAAGGAGACATGTCTTTAAGTCTCCACCAGAATCTAGATTAATCTTAAAGAATATGTACTTAAATGTCTAAATGATGTATTTAGACTCTTCCTATTTTTCCAATCAACTTGTGATAGATTACTAATAATTATCAACAACCAAAATTATTTGTAGTTGTTGAAGCATAGCTATATATTTTGATATCACCTATAGAAGTACGGTTGTTTTTTTAGTATCGCTTGAAGCGTTGCAGGTCACTACACAAATTAGATAATCTAATGCAAGTTGATAATCATACATATATAGTTTAATATTTCTATCACTTGGAATTAATTCAACTACAGTATCCCAATAATTGGATGATATAATTTTTATTGGAGTGGAAACGCTAAGATTTTGCATGGACATATCTTCATATAGCAATGAATTAAATCCAGCTTGAATTGATTAAGAAAGTTACATCCAATTTTGGTACAGGATTTGGGCATACATAGCTAAGAGCCGATATGGCGATATTTTATAGCAAGGAGTGTTTGAGTACGACTTTTTGCGCGCGTGTTAGAAAATATATGGAGCATACAAGGAGAAATCATGTACATTTCATGCGTCATTGTGTTTTTATCTTATATATTGTTTATATCGATGAATTATAGCCAGATAATATTATTCAACAATTGTGATCGAGAGGAAGCGATCTGTCCAAGACCAAAAATAACAGTATAAAGGATCAAACTTTAAAATTTAAGCTGATTCTTTAAATTGAATTGTTTGATACTTACATGATGTTATCAGCACTCCAAAGAATTGAATAACGGTGAGCCTCTTCAGTAGGATCGAACGGTAGAGTATATCGTTCCTCACGTCCTCGACTCGTGCTTCCATTGCCATAGACGTTGGTCTGAATCCTCCATGGCTTTCCCCTAATGTTGCCTAAAAACTCAAAATCTAGCTCATCATGTCTCTTCTCAAATATGTGGCCGTTTGAAGTCTGTAATTATACGTACACATCAAGATCGAGTTAATGGACAACAAACATCAACCAAGGACATAACATATATATCTTGGATTTTTTTTTAAATGACATAACTTATGTTAGTTAAGCATTGACTTAGTATAGAAACGATAGCATATTACAATTTGATGCATTGCATCACGACATCATGTGACATTTCGAACCTAATCTCCTCCTAACGTGGACTAACTCCTCTAAAACGACTTCGCATTAGGTGATCCATACACATAATTTATGATGGGGAGTTGATATTCTCACGCCCATTATTTTTGTTGGTTCCACTGTATTTTGTTTTCAGTCCCTTTCCTTTGAATAAGTCATACACACATTAAATACGCGCGCAGCAAAATTAGACTTGGCCTGATTTACTCCTCCTTTGTAACAAAATTATATTATATCAATTAAGAGAATTAGCACAACATTTGCTTTTAGACTATCAAAGTTGAATTCCATTGCGTTGAACTTGAAAAGTAGCGCGTGAAAATGAACGATAAAAAAATACTATACTGTTTTAGAGATGTTATTAAGGTTTGGGGAATCTGTTTGTATTTGCAAATAATGCTATTTGTATATTGTCAAATATTATATTTCGTTTGTAATATATCATATTCTTTTCTTGAGAGGGAGAGCAATATATCATAGGATCACGCCTAAAACTTTGTAATTTGACAGCATGTATACTAACTTACCCTAATAACTTTATAAACTTAAAAAAATCAAATATTTTCACTCCAAAATTTGTGGGTTAAGACGTCAGAAGCATCAAACGAAATTTTTATTCAGAACCATCACCCAATTAAACTTTTACAACCAAAGGACTAAAATGCCCATATATGTCATAGAATATACCCGTAACCTATAATATCTATTATTTCTTAAAATGAAAATTCAGTAACCATAAATAACAACTTTTCAAAATCAACAGAATCAAATCAATACAATCTTTTCACTGCCCCAAAACGTTAAAAAAAAATCAAACGGCGTTAACTCACATAGAAAGCGACGACGACACCGGCGGTGTAATCTGATGGCAACTTGATGGACGCGCTGAAGAACCCATGGTCGTACATATCCGACGATATAAATCCCGACCCTATGAAAACGAACAGTAGCCGTTAACTAAAAAAGAAAACTAACTGCGGACCTAACGTTGACCAAGAGAGCACTCACCAGAGTAACGGTTAAGGTGGAGCTTGACGTTTTTGCCGTCTCGGGACTTGACGACGTTATCGCCGCCGAACAAAGGAGAGAAGCCCTCGTCGAAAGATAACGTCGATACGTTAAAGGCCGCTGACGCCGTTACTGCGCATGAGAGAACTAAGAGCTTCAATAGTCGATGAGTATCCATGGAGGTTTGTGTGATATAAAATTTTTCCCTTTTGGTTTGAGAACTGTTTGATTTTTGAGAATTTAAAGAGAGAGAGAGAGAGAGGAGGGGAGCTGAGAATAGAAAGCAGAGGGTATCATTAGGTTTGCTGACCTGGCACACGCCCCTGATTTCCTCAAAATTTACGGAATTGCCATAACTTTGCGCATTCCTCTTTGATAGCACATCTTTTACGCGGTGGGCTAATTTGACTGTTATCTATTTGACCATATTACCCCTCCACTTTGGCCGCTTTTCGGTCAATAGCTTGAGGGTAGAATCGTCACATACGTTTTGTGGTTTATGCAATAGCCCAAGGGTATAGCTGTCTTTTAGAAAACTTAAAAGGCAAGAAGTTGGAAAGTTTGACCTCCCGCCAGAGGGGCGGCTGATGAATGCCACGCTGGATATTTGATTAGTTTATAAATTAGGAACTTTTTAATGTAAATTAGGACATTAGGGTTCACCTTCCACGAGTTAATCATTGTGTTAATCACTAATTAAAGTGAGGATACTTATTAATTGTGTTTTATTCTAACTGCTATACTGTTTTTTAATATTCCAGTCCACTAATCATATATTCTTGAATCAGCATCTCTTAGATAAAGTATCATCAAAACCTACCATTTGTATAAGTTAACGTTCAAGATTAGATAAAGTTTCTTGTTCACCTACTTTGTAATTTTTTATATTTTATTTGTTACGAAAAAAGTAAATTATGTAAACTAAGGATCACAATTCTAAAGCGAAAAAGAAATTTAGATGAAGAGGGAGTTTGTAATGAATCAACATTTGATCAATACATTAAACTTGTCATATCAAAGTATTTTAATTCTGATTAACTTGGTTCATCGTGGTTGATTTTGTTAAATATAACCATAATATACTAATTGAACTTGGTGATATAATGAATTGACGGGGACAACAAAATAACCAAACCACACATCCTATGAATGACTAAGAATATTATGCTCGCTATTGTGACATTTTGATAGAATTTGCACTCTTTGTCAATAGCATATATATAGATGAAAGAACTCTAAATATCTAAATTTTGTACTTTCCTTTTTTTCCTCTGATGTTTTTAACTCTTTTATCATCATTTTCTAGCCAATCAAATCATCCTATATATTTACTAAAATAAGGAAAATATATTAGGGTGAAATATTATGATCAAGCGAGAATTAAATCTCTATCCGTTGACAATCTGTTGGTTTGGGTGTAGACCAAACCTGTCAGGCGAGCTCGAGCAGGTGAGGAGCTCCTTCAGGTGTGCTCGACGAGATCCGCTGGCGAGCTCGTAGTGGACATTGTCAGGCGAGGTCGACGCTGATCCGCAGGAGAACTCGAAGAAGCGGTATGCAGGCGAGGACTGGGCTTTGCGGGAGAGGTCGACGCAAAACAGGTGAGGGCGTGCTCGTGGATCTACTGGCGAGCCCAAAGTTGAGCGCAGGTGAGCTCGATAACTTTCAGGAGAGCTTCTCACAGGCTGTCGATAGCCTGTCAATAACTCAGCGTTAGGGTTTTTATATAAAAGGGAAACCCTGAGCCCTAGCCCTGGTTGCTTCTTCTCGTTTTCTTTTCGGCGACGACTCTCTCTCTCTCTCTCTCTCTCTCTCTCTCCCTAGCCCTGGTTGCTTCTTCTCGTTTTCTTTTCGGCGACGACTCTCTCTCTCTCTCTCTCTCTCTCTCTCTCTCTCTCTCTCTCTCTCTCTCTCTCTCTCTCTCTCTCTCTCTCTCTCTCTCTCTCTCTCTTCTGTTCCCTTTCTTCTCCAAAGGGGGAGGGGATTTAAGAAGGGAAGCTCACAGTGAATTTAAAAGAGGGGGAATTTATTAAAGAGGGGAATCAACACTGTAGCTAAAGTGTTGATTTGTATTTATTGAGAGACCTTAAGTTTGAGATCTGCTCTTGTATTGTAATTTCTTATTGATTAATAAGAAATTAATTATGTGGCTCCTGAGGACGTAAGCAAATTTGCCGAACCTCGTTAAATCTTGGTGTATTTTTCTCTACTGTGTTTTTTGCTGTTTTAGGGGTTTAGCGTAGCCCTGACTAATTTCCTAACAACTGGTATCAGAGCCTGAAACGATTTAGAGGAAGTCAGATTCAAGTGGGAGCGATGACCGCAGATGAAGGAAATGTGAGATTAGAGAAGTTCAATGGAATAGATTTTGGATTCTAGAAAATACAGATAGAGGGTTATCTGTATCAGAAAAATCTGTATCAACCCCTTTCGGGGAAGAAGCCAGATCCTATGAAGGAAGATGAGTGGAACCTTCTAGACAGACAAGCCCTCGGAGTTATCAAATTAACGTTAACTCGTAATGTTATGTTCAATATTGCAAGGAGAAGACCACGATGGGTCTTATGGCAGCACTCTCAAATATGTATGAGAAGTCATCAGCCGCAAGTAAAATTTATTTGATGAGGCGGTTATTCAATCTGAAAATGGTGGAAGGCGCGTTAGTATCACAACACCTTAATGAACTCAACACGGTCACAATTGAATTAAGTTCAATTGAAATTGAGTTTGATGAGGAAGTTCGAGAGTTGATACTTTTGTCTTCCCTACCAGAAAGCTAGAACGCTATAGCCACAACTATGAGTAGCTCGTCGGGAAGTAACAAGTTAAAGTTTGATAATGTTCGTGATCTGGTTCTCAATGAGGAGATCCGACGGAGAGAGTCGGGTGAAGCTACAATCTCTTCAGTATTGCATACAGAGTCAAGAGGTAGAAATTCAACCAGAGGGAATGGACGAGGTAAATCAAACTACAGAGGTAGATCAAAGGATATGTGATCCAAATCCAGGAATCTAAGCAACAACCCGAAGGCTATCAAGTGTTGGAATTATGGAAAGACCGGACATTACAAGAATCAGTGTAAGAGTGCACATAAGGAGAAGGAGGCGAAGACAGATGTGAATGTCACTTTCACCTCAGGAGGAGACGACGCATTGATATGCTCTTTGGAGAGCAAGGAGAAATCTAGGGTGTTAGACTCAGGAGCGTCGTTCCATGCTACTTCTGAGAAAGAATTTTTCAAGAAGTATGTTCCCGGAAATCTTGGATATGTATACCTTAGTGATTATCAACCATGTGCTATTATGGGCAAAGGTGTAATGAAAATTAAGTTGAACGGGTCAGTATGTGAGCTGAAGGATGTCAAACATATTCCCGACCTGAGAAAGAACTTAATATCTGTAGGCCAGTTGGCTGGCGAAGGATATACTACGACCTTCCATGGAGGTGATTAGAAGATCTCAAAGGGTACAATGATGATTGCCCGAGATAAGAAGACTGGTACCCTATATATAACAGCAGGTGCACGTTGTTTAATATCAGTTGCAGTGTAATACCCCAACCCTTGAGAGGGTGATATGATTAGTATTGATAGATTTGATTGGAATACTCATACCACCAAAATGCATCTTCTTTTCGGGAACCCAACTCTTAGAAACTCCAAAGTTAAGCGTGCTTGGCCTGGAGAAATTCTAGGATGGGTGACCCCCTGGGAAGTTTTCCAGGGAGCGCGTGAGTGAGGATAAAACGTGCTGAAAAGACATGTGGTGGTTTGTGAGGCCAGTCCGTCAGATCTAGTAGCGTACCGACTCCGGGATTCCGGGGCGGGGCGTTACAAATGCTATCAGAGCAAAGCCAACCAGAATTATGAGAGCTAAGTGCTATGCGACGCAAAGTGCTACGTCGAAAGGGTGTGAGCCACCTCTTGAGGCCGTAGGAGCCACCTCTAGAATCTCACACGGATGGTACGGCCTTGGATGATATGATTTGGCACAACGAGGACGTTGTGAATTTAAGTGGGGGAGTATGTAATACCCCAACCCTTTAGAGGGTGATATGATTAGTATTGATAGATTTGATTGGAATACTCATACCACCATGATGCATCTTCTTTTTGGGAACCCAATTCTTAGAAACTCCAAAGTTAAGCGTGCTTGGCCTGGAGAAATTCTAGGATAGGTGACCCCCTGGAAAGTTTTCCAGGGAGCGCGTGAGTGAGGACAAAACATGCTGAAAAGACATGTGGTGGTTTGTGAGGCCAGTCCGTCAGATCTAGTAGCGTACCGACTCCGGGATTCCGGGGCGTGGCTGTTCGCGGGAAAAATTGTTTTTATTGATGTCATTGTTTCCTTGAGCAACAGTTTATCGGTTACAAAAGATCCGGTCTTTTTGTAAGATCTGGTTACAATAAAATCAAAAAATCTTAAAAGATTACAACTTTCCTTTTCTTGAACAAATCGTAAGATCCTGTTTTGCGGTCTCTTGCTTGTGTGGGTTCTTTGCCTGCGCCGGGGTTAATCCGTGGACCACCGCGCGATCTTGATCCGATCGGATCTACATGGTATAACGGGTGTTATGTCACGAAGGAAATAACAGCCGAGGGGATTATTTCACCAAGGAAATAATAGCCCTAAGTAATCGAAATCGACCAAGCGAAATCGAGACTCTTCTCGGGATCAAAAACCAAGTTTTGATCCGGAGGATGATCGTGTAAATCTCAGATCTGATCTCTCTCGAACTCCTACCTTATTTGGTGTGGATGATCGTCAAGAACCAGATCTGAAAAGTCCGAGTCTTCAAAGCTCCAAAGCTCCAACCTTTTTTAGTCTTGAGGCTCTCAATCCGGCAGAGTTTCCCCTCAAAAGTTCCACCAAAAATCCAACCCCTCAAAAATAAGCCCTCCTTCTCTATTTATAGGCATCTCAATCCAGATCTGGGCTCAGATCTGGGCCCAGATCTGGGTGGCTCGGCCAGGTGGGTCGGCAGGTGGCTCGGCCACCTAGGTGGCTCGGCCACCTAGGTGGCTCGGCCACCTAGGTGGCTCGGCCACCTAGGTGGCTCGTCGACCACCGAGCCACCTAGAGGTGGCTCGGTTTCGGCCGAGCCCTCCAGGTGTTTGGTTTTGCACCCGTTTTTCGGTTTCGCGGTTTATCCAAACTTCGTTGTTGATCTGGACTCTGATTTGACAGTCCGGATCCTGATTTGGCAGTAAATCCGCTTCGGTGTTCGAGTTTGAGTCCAGATTCGA